AGGAACTGATTTAATACAGCATAGTTTGCGCATTTAGTGAGAACAGAGGACAAGTGGGTGTGAACAGCGTTCCTCTAGCTTATTTTTCTGTCTCTTCCGCTTCCCTCCAATACAGCTGACTTGCTGCTTGAAGGATTTAACAATTACAGATTTCTATCTAATGGCTACATCCCCATCCCTGGGCAACAAGACAAGGATAACTTTCAGGAGACTATGGAAGCCATGCATATCATGGGATTTTCACACGATGAGATCTTGTGTAAGTTACTGAGCCTTCTGGATTTTTAAAGCTTTCTCTTGCGCGCACACGTGCACAGTTGCTAATTTAGTGTCACCAAGTTTAATTTTGTTTCAGTGCCTTGACAGCCTGCGGCGAATGTTTTCTTAACGTGAGCTAGAGTTGAATTAAAGCCATTTGCCCAAAAAGTACAGTACAAACTTAATTTCCTTTCTGAATGATACACTGAATTTGGAAGGAAAGTGGTCCAAGTAACAGAAGAAAGATTTGTTAAGCTGAGCCCAATTAAACTGTTGCATATGTCTTCTGTTAACACAGCGATGCTGAAAGTGGTGTCTTCAGTCCTACAGTTCGGAAATATTTCCTTTAAGAAGGAGAGAAATACCGATCAAGCTTCCATGCCAGAGAACACTGGTAAGTTGATTGTGTTTGTGTCGCTTCCTTTAACTTGAGCTGTAGTTTGCTTCCTGCAGTTTGTTTAGTGCATGTCTTCAAAAGTACGGAGCACTCTTCTGAGCCTCCTTGGTAGCGCTCTGTGCCAAAAAGGGGCCGTGACTGGTGTGGTAGTAGCCAACGGGCAATTATTAAAACTCTTCCATTCTCGTAATGCAGACAAATTTAAGTATCCATCAACAGAATTTATGGTGTTTGCATAGCTTCTAAACTTTGAACGAGTATTTCAGTTGTAGTCTTGTTTATTGCGATCTACAAAGACTTAAGCACTAGAAAAAAGTGCCTGCTTAAATCAGTTTGTTTTCTTTGGTTCTTGACAGCAGTTTTGTTGCCAATGAAAAGAGCCCTGGAGCCAAGCACAACTTCCATAGTGAAATGACTGCACATAAGAATGCTGCGTTTAGAAAAAATTGATTTCTGAAGTGGCATGGTAGTGTGACTAAGATTTAATTGATCAGGTAGTACCTGCAAAGCGATCAGCAGTTTGAGGTGGATCTTGCTTCACAAAAAAGATAGCTGCTGAAACAGGTCTCGAGCTTTTACTGTAGTACTTCAGTACCAGATTTTTAAATGATCTCATGGAAAGTCTGCTCTGAGAACTGTCTTTAGTGAAAAGAGCAGTAGGAACCATCATTCCCAGGACCTGCTGCATACGCACGACTCAGAGTCTTGTCTGTATCTCATTTCGTAATTGTCCTAAATTGCAAGCAGCCCACATGCACAGCAGTGGCCAAAACTTTTGTCATTTCTTGGGGCGGTGGCCTCCTGCCCAAAATGTGCCAGCAAGCAGGTGTGGATTAGAGTTCAATAGTCATTGACTTGATATTTGGCTGGCAGTTGGCACTTTTAGTTTTGCAGTGAGGAAACAGGGTTAGGGGAGGGATTAGGTTTTTTGGGCTTTTAGTGCCAGCTTAGACAACTCAACTGAGTAATTGCCCATTTAGAAGGTGTGATGGAGAAAGCTACAGATGCTTCTTACTTCCTGGCTATCTTGGCTTTTATTGTATTACCATTGTTTTCTGGACAGAAATGCTTGAATTATAATATTTGATATAAATGTATTGATACCAATGGATATTTATAATACTGGATGCAAAATTCTGAACTATAACGCAAAGCTGCTGAAAAGCTCAGATCATCGTTAAAGTGTGTATCTGTTCTCTTGTATTTAAAAATTACTTTATTTGATTATGTGATCTTTGTTATTCTATCTTTCTGAAGACACTGAATGAAACTAATATCTCCTTTTTGGTCATCTGTATTGTTGTGTCTCGCTGTAATGGGTTTCCCTAGCATCCTCCAGAAAAATAAGTGTCTTGATAGCGATTCCCCTCCTTTGGAGGCACATGGCTGCACCAGGTCAGGTTAATGTCTCCATAGATGGGGAAAGAATATGTGTGGGTAGTGGAGATGTGAACCTATTCAAATGATATGGAAAGCAAATTCTACCTTATAGATAATAAATATAGATAAAAAACCAGCAACTTCAAGTATAGATACAAGAGGTGGCAAGAAAGCCATACAGTCTTCATGGATGAAGGGGAAGGAGAAGCTGTATTTAGAGAACAGTTTCATGCTCACCAGATCTGGAAGAAGCTTTTGCAGTATCTTTGCTTTATAATAATTCAGAATTTTGTATCCAAAGCCTAATAGTAATAAAATATGAATCGGGATAGTCAGGGCTTTCTACAGTCACACCTTTTAAATGGACCTTCCTCAGTCGTGAGCAAACAAGGTGAATTATGTATTTTCAAGTACAAGATTGCTCAAGCTGAAATAGCGTGAGCCAGTCCTACCCTCAGAAGTGACAGGGCTTTGACTTGAAAATGGTTTTATTTCCTTCAGTCAAACCTCTGCATTGCTGGCTACAGCCTCCTTCAGTGTCTGAATGGGATGTGATTTTTAGTATCACCTCTGCTATGGCTTATTGCTCTTGTTACCTAAGCCATAGTTCATTACAAACCTTCTCCTCCCTTAGAAGTGTAATAGCCTTTATATAGTATCCATTTGCCACAGTACCAAGCTGATGCTCATGGCTACTTAATCTTTTCAAGCTCTTGGGTTTTTAAAGATCCTGACAGCACTTGACACCTAGGGTTGTAAGTTCTGCCTGGTGTATCGATGTGTATTTTTATACAAGAAGCACAGAAATGGTCCTTTGTGGAGCTGAAGTGAAAGGAGTGTTCAATCTGTGACGCTACCCTAATTTCACTGATTGTGTGTTGATTCATGATTGCTTCTAATGAGTATATGGCCAGGCAGAGAATCTCAACATTGAGACCAAGTAGTAGCGCTTTTAATGCCAGAGCAAAAAATGCAGAGGGAGCTCATATATTGTGTTAAAATCTCTTTTTCAGTGTCAGTTTGTTTAAATAGCTTTTTTCATTTTGACAGTAAAACAAGGAGCTGTCAGATTCCAAAAATAAGGAGTTAAAATACTGGAGAGTGTGGAGGGCTTCCTGCTAAAGGGCACTGCTTACCCGGGCCTAAAAATACCTTTAGCGTCACTTTCATTTTTAGAAGTATGGAATCATAAACACCTAACCTACTGGAAAATGTATTTAGAAAAAGGCAGCAAGAATATGTCATGATGGTGTGGGTATAATGCGTTATTTCCAATAATGAACATGACATCAGGAGAGCTCATGCTGTCTAAAGAAAGTGCGCTTGCACTGTTGTTCTGGATAAAGTGTTACAAAACCATGTTTTAAATAGTTTAAACAATGTATTTTGATACAGTCTGTAATAGCAGCATTACACTGGCATACCTGCCTGAATTGAAATAGTGTTCAAGGAACCTTTAATATGACAGAGTTGATGTGTGATGGCCTCATGCTATGCTTTTATTTCTGGAGATGGAGAAATGAACGTTCCCTATTAAAATAGTAAAATGAGCGCTTGTACGTGGGCTGATGGACTGTTACGTGACTTCCCTGTGGTTTCATGAAATCCAGTGTTTTCCACACTCCCCTAAGGAAATTCAGTAGCATACTCGCTGGTGTACCTTTGTAGAGGCTTCTCTCAGCTGTTGAGATGGAGGCCCCACGGACGTGGGCCAGGGGCTGGGGTAGGTCTGTCGGCAGGACAGAAGTGCACCTCCCTGGCTGCGATTTTGGACGGCAGCTCAATTTTTAAGCTGGCACATGACAGCCTTTGTCAGTAGCTTGTTTCAGCCATGTTGCTAACTGCTGTGGAGGATTTAAGTGCTTCCATTTATGACTTCTTTTGCCTCCAGTCGCACAGAAACTCTGCCATCTACTGGGAATGAACGTGATGGAGTTCACGCGGGCCATCCTGACACCACGCATCAAAGTGGGCAGAGACTACGTTCAGAAAGCCCAGACCAAAGAACAAGTAAGTTCTGGTGCTTTGAAGATGAAGTGCAAACGTACCTCATCCTGATTAGCTCTGAATAAAGAAAATTGGAGTGAAGTGTGTGCTGCCACTGGCTTTTTTTAAGCTTACTTATTAAATGTTCTTATATGGTAAGAATTAGTGGTAGAATAGAAGAAACCTTTCCCTTTCCTTGACCTTCTGCTGGTTTCATCCTTTAATGTCGTTGTTGTATATATCAAATGCACAGCGAACTTTTGGGTTTTTTATGGAACAGTTTAAAAACAAATTTTTCATAACATTAATCAAACTGCTTACTGTTTCTGCTGCTTGTTTTGATTCCTCAGTGGTATTAACTCCACTAAACTTCTTCTGTTACTTAGTTACTTGTAATAACATCCATGTCCATGTTCTTTTGATGACTTCTCCAAGGCAAATAAATTTTCCTGTCTGGATTTTCAGGCAGACTTTGCAGTGGAAGCTTTGGCAAAGGCCACCTATGAACGCCTCTTCCGCTGGCTTGTTCACCGCATTAATAAAGCTTTGGACAGGACCAAGCGACAGGGAGCGTCTTTTATTGGAATTCTGGATATTGCTGGATTTGAAATCTTTGAGGTACTTCAAACAACTCCAATCAGACTTTTTTTCTTTTCCCTGTTAATGTGTGTTCAGGATTAAGTGTAAAGTCATTTAATGCATGCATGTTCCAAGGCTGCGGGAGGGCTGTGTTTTGTAGAATGCAAATGCTTTGACAACCCTAAATTACAGTGCCAAAAAGCCATACTTTAGTCTAAATCGTTCTTTTATATGTGATTGCTTTTCTTGTATGCATTATTATTATATGTAAAAGAGCACATAAGAGATTTGAATAATGCATTTTCCAATTTTCTTTACAATATATTTGAGTGTTGCAGAGATTTGGGGAATTTCCTTGTATGGCCGAATTTTTTGACTTCCAGATATGTGATAAATCCCATAACTGAGTTATTCTTGCTTACTAATGTTATTTTTGTAGTTGAACTCCTTTGAGCAACTCTGCATTAACTACACCAATGAGAAGCTTCAGCAGTTATTTAACCACACAATGTTTATCCTGGAGCAAGAGGAGTACCAGCGAGAGGGTATAGAGTGGAATTTCATTGACTTTGGACTGGATCTGCAGCCTTGCATCGACTTAATTGAAAGACCTGTAAGTTTGTGCCTTAATAATGCTCTAAGGAGGAAAGGTTCCATTTATTGTCTTTTACTGTCTGTTAATTGTAGGACTGTACAGAGATTTCTTGCGGAAGTGTCACAAAGAGTGAATTAACATGAAGGGTGCAATCCAAATTCTAAAATATTATCTATTAGTAAAAGGCTTTATCCTTATGGGATTTTGCCCTGATGTTAGGGTAGAACGCTGAGCTAAAGATATTAAGCTACTACTTTTCTACTCTTCTCTTTTTCCCCCCATTACTATTGAACTCATTAGTCCTGTCACTTTCATATTAAGCAATGCCATGGCCTTATATTTTTTTTTCTTTGAGATCAATAGCAAAATACTTGAAACTTCATTTAGTAGAGTTTCCTCCGTAAATCTGCCTTGTGAATAGGAAATCAGCATCTTGAAGATGGTCCAAATCACTGTGCTTTATAAAATATTCTTCTGGTTGCTTAATATATGGAAGCTGAAGAGGGCTTCAAAGAGCAGGAGGAGGAGTTGGGGGAGAGCAAAGGTCATCATTCCTGAAAGTTATCATTCTTCACACCTCAGAACTGTGCAGCCAAAATTATTTTATGACCTTCTAAATAAAACCTAGGGCGTTACAGTTACTGCTCTCTACATTTCTGGGTGTATATTCTAGAATACACATAAGCTGCCAGTGATGCTCTGCATCCTGAAGAGCAGAAAAGCCCATGAGCCACATTGCTGTTCTTAAGGAAAAGGGAAATCTTGTTTCAGTTATCAAAGGTTTGCACTTTGTGTGTGAAACACCAGAAAGTTCTGCCTCCTTGGAATGCAAAACCTCTGCCAAAAAGCCTGAGGGGGTAAGTGTGGATGCTTTCAGTGTGCAGATGTTTAGGTGAATACCCTAAAATGCGTCAGATTACTTGATTATTTTTTTTGTTTGTTTGAAAAGCAGATGTCAGTAGCAGTTGTCATTCATAATTGTTCTGTAAATGTGATGCTGTGTAGTAGGCACATAGAAACATTTGTCTTCAAAATTGTGAACTTCACATTAACCAGAAACTTTTTAAGTATAAATAATTATGAACCTATTCTTTTTCCCATTGCTTTCCTGTGTACATCAGTCTGTCCTCTCTGAGGAAAATGATCCTGTCAAACAATTCTACAGCTGTAAAATACAGACATTGGTTGTTCCCTGCTTCATTTTAAGAATAAACAAGCCTTCAAATGGAGCACTTAAATTGTACGGAAAGAGAGGGAGTGTATAAAACTGTGCCGGCTGCTCAAGTTAAGCCTGCTGAATCTGTTTGGATTCTGCTGCTGGATATCAACCCAGGGCTTGGCACGGGGAGGGTCTGTGGCTGCCACAGTCGTATCGGGTGGCTGGGAGGGATAATTGTCTTGAGTTTAGCCCACATTAAAGCATGACATTAACTACTGTGGAAATGCGGATGAGCTGCTGTGTACGTCCGTGTCACAGAAATGTTTGGAAGGTAACTCTGGAGGTCAGCTATTCCAGTCCCTGCTCAAAGCACGGCTCCGGGCAGCACTGGATCAGGTCACTCATGTCTGGCTCCAGATACATTGGAATGAATTTGTTTTAACCAGTCATAATGTCCTTCATTGAACCGGGCTCCCTCACAGCTTGTTTTAACTTAAATCAAGTTTTAATCAGTTTAGACAACTTCTTACTGTGGCATTCAGTGGTGTGTTTCAAATATTAAAATTTAAATAAATATCTGTACTAAATATTAACACAGATTAAATACAACTGAATTTCAGGCAAATCCCCCTGGTGTGTTAGCACTACTGGATGAAGAGTGCTGGTTCCCTAAAGCTACTGACAAGACATTTGTGGAAAAATTGGTCCAGGAACAAGGAACCCACTCCAAGTTCCAAAAGCCAAGACAGCTAAAGGACAAAGCAGACTTCTGCATTATTCACTATGCAGGGAAGGTAAGGGTTAAATGTTAAGTACGTGGTTCGAAATGTTGGTCTGGGGAAAGTTCTATGCAGTACAGTTACCAAATTTAGAAACAGTTGTGCAGGAGGGTGACCTCATTTAATTTTTTGGAACATATTCAGGAGAGCTCTGATGGAACTTGTTACCAAGTAGGCAGAACTGAAAAATGTCAATTAATTTTAAATTAAGCAAATATTTCATTTTCCTTGAATTTTGTTGTCAGGTCTTACAGGTGAGTGTTTCTTCAGGACTTCACTGAATTGTGAATATCTGTGTTTGTAAGTTGATGGTAGTGCTTGAAGTAGGGCTGTGTCAGTACCACCCTCACTTTATCTCCTCAGTTCACATAAGACTTTTTTTGTATGTCCCCTTTCGTAGGTAAGCCGATACCTTCTCATTTTTACTGTTAGTTCAGTCTTTAGTCTCCTGCTGAGGGGGACAGAGCTCAGGTGCATGTGAACAGATGCGTGAAATAACTGCAGTTCTTGTACTTTGTGGAACCTTTGTGATCACCGGGGCTGTTCTACAGGGCCATGCTATGTAATTAGCTTCATAAGTAGTTAAAACTTAATTTTAGTACCAGTTTTTGCCCTGATTTTGGGAAGAAACAGGCTGTGCCAGTGATTAAGAGCTACCCTTTAATTTTTCATTTAAAGTACTAATGGATTGATTAGTTGTTGATGTCAGTAGTGCCAAATACGTAATTGTAGCAAAAAGTGAAATAAAGAAATTATACATTTTATTGTATCAATATTTAAAATGATTACTTAGAAATAATGAAATCATCACTGTTACTGCAGTTAACGGTGGGTTACCTGTAGGTAATGAAAATGGAGTATAACAGCTTGGTGCCTGACTAGTAGGAAGTGGCTGTTCTGAAGAATGGTTTACTTCTGCCAAACCGAGTGGGCATTTCTGGAATACAGACACTGCATATCTTCCTCGGATAGAAGGCATTTTTCAGTTTTTTATCAGAATGTGTATTCCCTCAAAACTGGAATTGTTTGTGAGCTAACTTTTTCTGCAAGAAGTACTAAGATAATCTGATTGAGGTTTGGATGCTGGCAGCATTTAAATGTGGCTTTCCTTCCAAAGCCCTTATTTAAAAATAGAAAATGCTCAGTTAGGTTGAAGCAAAAACATGCTAGTCTGTACAGAGGTTTTGTTGGACTTGGGGAATTTTAGGGCTCTCTTTTGGTTTGGGATGAAGCCCATGTTGGTAGCACTGAGTTTTCAACTGCTGAGCAATAGTTTAATTGTGAACCACAGAATTGGCTCTTTAAAGATAAGAGCTTTGTTTGTTTTCTTTGTAGAACAAAGTGTTTAATTGTTACAGTGAAATTTTAAAAATTCATGCTGCAGCACATTCTTAATTTACTCTCTAGTAATTTAGATAAAGTAATTAGGATCTATGCTAAAGTTGTTTGTACATCTTCACAGTGAACCTTTGTTTTGGCAATAACACTAGGCTGAAAATGCATACCAGCTATTAGTAAGCAAGAAGTCAGATTGCTAAATTTTAAGAAAGCTCCCATTTACTCTTTCAAAAGAAAAATAATTTTTCGTGGTATTTGGAACAAGAAATTTTTTTGTGGTACTTGGAGGCACAACAAACTCACAGCGAGCAAACTGCAAGAAGAGAATAGGAGGAAAACTTTCTGAAAGCTTTATTTGAAGCTGGTGAATTGAACCCTGCAGCAGGGCAGTCTGTCTGATCTGTGCAACTTGGCTGCTCTACAGGTGGACTACAAGGCAGATGAGTGGTTGATGAAGAACATGGACCCCCTGAACGACAACGTGGCTACGCTCTTGCACCAGTCTTCTGACAAATTTGTTGCAGAGCTTTGGAAGGATGGTAAGAGATCATGCTCTGAGCACACAAGTTAGCAATTTCACCTTGCTGGATGAGGTTTTGGTTGGAGCGGGGTGGTGATGGTGCCTGTTCCCTCCTCCCCCTCCCTCTCTACACGTTAAATGTGAACACATTTTCTCTATTGTTTAGCACCAAAAGTACAACAGGGAAGCTGGGTTGCACCTATGGTCTCTTGCACATGTACCATTTCTGAGTAGCTGCTTCTCATGTTCATTATTGGAATTGATATTCACTTTCTACTTGTTACCTTGTGTCAAATTTCATGTAGAATCTTGTCCAAAACTTAGTTCAGTGGAGTCCTGAATGTAAATGACTGTAGTGATTCTTGCTGTTAGTAAAATGTTGCCTCATGTGAACACCAGCACAGTTGTTTCATGTGTAGTGGTGAGTAATGTCCTGGAAATCTGCATCTCCTAGAATAAAACTCAGTAACAGCCATCCTAGTGCTTAGATATTGCATATTAAAATGAAATTAAATGCATTCCTATTTTAACTGTACACTGTTGTTTAGCTAGTTTAGCTGTACATCAACTTGAAGTATTTATCAACATTTTCACTAAAGTGCTCCAAGAAGCAGAAGGAACCGAATAAATACCTGCCAGGGACTTTTCTATTCTAGTTTTTAACATCACAGTGTATATTTACTAGAGTATATTTACGTGTCACAGTGTATAAATCCTGTAGTTTCTTACTCGAGGAGGAAATTAAGCTTATGATACAGATGGCACTGTCGGTTAATACTGAGTTTCCCTCTTACTTTGTTCAGCTACAGAGAGCAGATTTAATGACTATATAAAGAACTTTTTGGTTGGGGATCTGCTCCTTCTGAGTACACGCACAGAAGCCAAAGTGTTTTGGTCCAAATATGCAAAACTTGCTTCCACAGATAATTGAAATGTGCATGGGATATGTTGTGGCCTAATTGCTTTTGTAGCACAGTTAAGTCTGTTTGCAATTGATAAACCTGTTCTGCATACTAACTGAAGTGTCTTGTGTATCTGCTCTTCTTCTGTCTTTCTGTTTTTGCTGTTTCTCTGCATTAGAGATTCAGAATATTCAGAGAGCCTGTTTCTATGACAATATTACTGGTCTTCATGATCCACCAGGTGAATGGATGTAAAAACAGTAGGCCTACTAAAGGCAGGGCTGTTGTATCTACAGGAAAACCATTTTTGCTCGTAGGCTTGCATGAACTTTCCATTTCATGCTAAACTTAGGTATACCTCCACAAGCAAATGGTCTCCGAGTGCATACCTATTCAGTTGCTGCTGCATACATATAGCATCTCTATTTTATGCATTGCATTTAAGCATTGCAGATAAAAAGGTTTGTTGCTTCCTAGTACCATGTTGAGATGCAGAATTGCTTCTGAAGTGATAATTCTGGTAGCTCCAAGCATTTGAGAGAATGCATAAGCTTTGTAACACTATCAAGCTTCTTTCTGCAGTCCAACATTGACAAAACTCTGGAACGTTTTAGAACGTGGATGTATGTTTTGGGAGGAGAGCTGATGAATGTATTGAAGTATCAGAATGAGTGCTGCAGTTGTAGTGGGAGTCGTAAGTGAAATAAACTTCTTCCAGACTTGTTGGAATTGTTCTTTTATTTAAAAACCTCTTAATTTCAATACTTCCCTTTTGTAGAAACTGCACACATTTTTGAGGTATCGATAAATCAACAAATTCAGTTATTTGGAGTGTCTTTTTGAAGACAGTTCAGATATTTTATCTGACATCTTCCTTATCCGTTTGTCTCCCCAAGTTTAGATTTACACGTATGGGAAGGTTGTGCCTTCAGACTTCCAGTCTTGGGTTTATGTTCCCCTACTCATGATATATCACATACTTGAGGAAGCTAATGGTGTTTCCTAACTTCATTACTGGAGGGCTTGAGCTCAGAGGCTTTAGCCAATGCATGGTTGTCCAGTCATGCTGTTCAAGGACTGCTCTTAACCTATAGGGAAAGCTTACATTTTACATTAATAATTCTCGTTGAAATATAAATAACCATATTATAGTTGGAGGACAGATGCATAATTAACAGATAAATTCACTAATTCTTTAAAAGTACGTGGCCAAAGAAAAGCTGAGTGGTGTCCAGTCATTAGTGGTGTCTGGTGGGTGCATGTTTTTATATTTACAAGCCTTTATGTTCATTTTCTGTAAGACTAATTCACAGTAACGTCTATCCCATTTCTGGTTTAGAACTGAATTCTACTTCAAAGTAAATATTTGGGATATGATCTTATGAAAAACCACCTACTTATTCTTCTAATTTTAATAAGCCACTTAGATTCTTGTGTTCAAATCTGTGTGGAGGATCTGGGCTCTGCTGTATGCTACATGCAATACTTACAAGTGATTTTTCAAACTTATTGCCCTGTATTTTTCTGCTTTTAACTTTCCTTTTTTTTAATAGACCTTTGAACACCAGTTGAGTACAAATATGAAGTATAATATTGTCACTTATTTCTCATATACAAAATTCATTCTGGTAGTAAAGTGTAATTCCCTCTGCTTTGTTTTGAATGAATTTGGAGATGACTGCACAAAATTTAAATTGTAGCCTACATATAGTTGCTTGTTTCTGGCTGATCAGCTTGGATTTCGTGGAGAACCGATATATGTTGTATATTTGCTCAGTACTGAGAAGTGCCAACTATTATTATTAAGGTGTTAAGCCACCTGTGTATTTTTTTTAGCAAGCTATTTAAATAATTGTTGACATGCACATGTAATTACATTCATGGTTTTTTGCCTAAATGTTTTAATTATGGCAGTCAGATTGCTCATTTGTGCTTCTGAAGAAGAAACCATAGAGATCCTTACCCAAAACGTTCAAAAAATGGAAGAAAAATCTCTATTCTGATGCTTTACGACTGCTTTGAAGTTCTTTGATGTGCAGTTTTCCTGATTTGTCTTTTGGCTAGGGAGGTCTTTGCAGCTGTATATAAAGCTTGGAAGAATTCTTCAAAATAGCAGACTAGCAGAAGTCTGGCAGATACTTTTTTCCCTCTTGTCACTGAAATAACACTATTACCAACTTTTCTGTAAATAGTTGTGCTTTCAAAACACTTTTGAATATTCAGTGAAACTCAGATTTAATCTATGTAATTACCGTAAGTGACTCTTCATTTTAACCAAACATGCACAAATGTCTAATTCCAAACGTTCAACTCGGAAATATTTTGCATTGTAAGAGTTCAAATAATTACCAGTTTCCAGGCAGCTTTTGATGTCTTGAAAGTTGACTTAAAATAAAGAAAATGTCTTTACCAGTCATGTAGAACTGCAAGTAAAGAGCTGGATATTTCAGTCTGTACTTACTAAAGCTACACTATTCTGCTGTATAAGTTTGTGGCTTTTGGTTCCACTGCTTCTGCCCAGTGTCCCCAGTACATGCTGACTGCCTTGCCTACTGATGGCATATTCTGTCATTTGTGCCACAAAGCTTCTGCTGCTGCACTGTTGCTCCTCTTTCTGCCTGTCTTTACACCTGACAAATATTGAAGTCCACTTAATTATTTTCTCTTGTCCTTCCCAGTGGATCGTATTGTGGGTCTGGATCAGGTCACTGGAATAACAGAGACAGCTTTTGGCTCTGCGTACAAGACCAAGAAGGGCATGTTTCGTACCGTTGGCCAACTGTACAAAGAATCTCTCACCAAGCTGATGGCAACGCTCCGAAACACTAATCCCAATTTTGTTCGCTGCATCATTCCAAATCATGAAAAGAGGGTATGTACCACAGACCACTCCTCTAATTCTTTCTCTTCATCAAAGTCTTTACGTGCATTTTAAGTTCTGTATGCTGGCTGTGTCTTCCTTTTGAAATCAGAAGCCGGGTTTCACAAAGTTTTCACACTGATCAAATATCTCCTCAGTATTCCCCACACATTCCCTTATTTTGACAGTTGGTTTTGTAGAGGGTAGCTTGAAAAACTTGAACTACGGTTTTTCGTTAATACAAATTAAAAGACTAAAAGTCGTGGTTGTTTTGTTTGTTCAGGCTGGAAAATTGGATCCACATCTGGTTCTAGATCAGCTTCGTTGCAACGGTGTTTTGGAAGGAATAAGGATTTGCCGACAAGGATTTCCAAACAGGATAGTGTTCCAGGAGTTTAGACAGAGGTAACTGCAGGAACAGACTGTTAAGATTTTAGGAGATAAAGTTCCTTGTTGAATAATTGAAGACACCAAAAAAAACAACCCAAATGGAAGAAAATACAAAAATGTGTGAGGTCTTGAGGTGGTTTAAACTTGAAGCAGTTAAATATTACGAGTTTATTCTAAAGACACTAGGGAAGGGGAAACTAATCTAAAATGCACTTCTGGAAGTACTTTCTGGAGAAATTCCTTAGCTGTGCACTTGATGACTATAGCTTTACGGGTTTATAATAATGTAGCTTATTGTTGAATGTAAAGCTGGTTTTTTTATTTGACTTAAAGGTATGAGATCCTTACTCCCAATGCAATTCCAAAAGGTTTTATGGATGGTAAGCAAGCCTGTGAGCGTATGGTAAGTGTTTGTACCTATATATTGTTAAAACATTGGAAAGTAAACAAAAATTGTCCTTTCCTTGATGTAAAAACAATGTGCTTGCTTATCCATCTAGATCAGAGCATTAGAGCTGGACCCCAACTTATACAGAATTGGACAGAGCAAGATCTTTTTCCGAGCTGGTGTCTTGGCACACTTAGAAGAGGAACGAGATCTGAAGATCACGGACATTATCATCTTCTTCCAGGCAGTCTGTAGAGGATACCTGGCTAGGAAGTATGTGTGCTCTTATGGTTTGAATTTTTGTGGTCATCTTAAGTCTCTTTGATAAGGAGCTATGCATTAAAACTTCCATTTCAGGAGAGATTTTCTTAAGGAAACATGTTGCCTGATAAACTAGCTGTATCCAGAGTAAATAGGTGAATTTTTACATAATAATAAGAATTTATATCTTCATTCCATAGCAATATCTCCTTAATCTTCCTGTTGTGACACATGTAGCTGTTTACAATACAACTAGTGGCTGCAGAAAACTTTTCTGCCCTACTGGAAGTTCTTAGAGATACTCTGGAAAGCTGCTTTTTTGAAATTAAAAGACAGTTCAGCATTTAATCTATCCTAATTTTATCTTTTTAAGAAAAATGTCAGTTAAGTGTAAGAACAAATAGCTCTTGTAATTATTGTGGAAATGATGAATACAGCTCTTGCTCTGCCCCTTCGTATAAGGAATGAGCACTTAAAATGGTACCTTGTGGGGTCACCATTCCTGAAGGTGTTCAAGAAGCACATGGATGTGGCACTTCAGGACATGGTTTAGTGGGGATGGTGGTGTTAGGTCGACAGTTGGAGTTGATCTTAGTGGTCTCTTACAACCTTAATGATTCTCTGACTCTGTGAAGTCGGTGCAGTCACTGAAACTTTATAATTATCCTGTTGATGGCCTGCACGTATTCTGCAGTTGAGTAACCTAAAAACACAGGCAGATGTTTAGCTGTATTTAGCGTGAAATATTTTGCTCTTTCTGTCTTCAGGGCCTTTGCAAAGAAACAACAGCAACTGAGTGCACTGAAAATCCTGCAGAGGAATTGCGCTGCGTACTTAAAGCTTAGGCACTGGCAGTGGTGGAGGGTCTTCACAAAGGTTCGTTATATTCTGTCACTTTCTTTGACTTTTATAAATAGGTAGATGCTGGTTCTTACTTATTCATTTCAAATCTTTGCAGGTGAAGCCTCTTCTTCAGGTCACTCGTCAAGAAGAAGAACTTCAAGCCAAGGATGAGGAGCTAATGAAGGTGAAAGAAAAACAGACAAAAGTGGAGGCAGAACTTGAAGAAATGGAAAGGAAATATCAACAGGTTTGTGCCCAAGATCAGCTTTTGATCTGTGGAATATATATTGCATTATATCCTGTGAGGGATCCACACTGGGAAGACATTTATGAGCAAACGTGCTATGAATCTAAAAAAAAAACCTGGAATAGGAAGTTATAGCATGAGCTATTCCTCCATGAGTGCAGAAACATCATGTTATGAAACTAAACAATTTTTTTGGCCTATCTTGATTTATAAGAGAATTTTAGTAGCAGTATCATTTTCCTTTTCAAATGTGTTTTCAGGGTGGGATACTTCTGTGGTGTACATGCGCTGGTTGATATATGGGGAAGCAATTATGACAGTTAGTGAACAAAACTGAAAATTAATTTATACTGATAAGTAACATTATCAATTTAAAGAACAACTGAAAGAG